AATTTATCGCATTACATTTTGGTGCTATATATCGTACCACAAAAAAACAGATATCATGACAGGCCTACCAATAGTCTCAAACTTAACTCCTGGAGGGCGGCAGCTCAACATAGTTTCGCTTCAACCACCTCCAACTCACACCTGCTTTATAGTCTCTAGAAGTCTTGAACACCTTGGCTAGTTGGATCATCTGTGTTTGAATAGGGTTGAAGTAAAACTGTGCAGAGCTGCGGCTCTCCAGGAATCCAGTTTGAGACCAATGTTGTAAACTTTAAATAACTTATAAAAGACTGATGACAAGTGATTAATGACAATCGCCGTGCAGGTCTTTCCCTGGCTTATCTCAAGCCAATTTAATCAGACTGGTTTAATCATACATATCAATGGGTTATTTTTAAAGATTTAGAAGCTGACAGTATCAGGTCCTCTTCTGTTTGGGGGAAATAACATTGAAAGAAATGTCTATCACATTGGTTTCTTTAGAAAATGTAAACTGAAAAGTTCTTCAGCAAACTAAAAACTAAAAAAAAATCATTTTGAAACCTTTCTTGTTCAGATTGTATTGACTGATGACCTTGCGCAAGCATTTTGACTGGAATGAAACCTTTTTAAATCAAGGTTCTTTCCACAGTCTTTCAGTCCCGTCTATGGCTACACCTCCTCCCGCGTTCTTTCACCGGCTCAGACGCTAATAAACAGCGTGGCCTTGAGGTCAGAGTGAGGTGGGGCGGGGGAAGATTTGAATACACCAATGACAATCATCTCCCAAACAAAAGCAAGCGGATAAGGACGGCAAGGGACGCAGAAAGAGAGGAAGGGAGGGAAGGAAACGTGATGGGAGAATGGAGGCTTCAACTTTTGTTTGCATGCTCCTCCGTTTGTGAAAGCAACTATTTCGCCCATTTACTCAACGCTCCTTCGCTGTTGAGCCAGCACTGTCGCAATCACTGCATGCGCTTGTTAGTGTGTGCGTCTGTCACTGCCGTGCGCACACAGTTTATAAGAATAAGGTCAGCTTGGCCTCCGCCTCCATCATCGTAGCAGCCTAACATTTTCGAACCCCTCCTCCGTCTCTCTCTCACACTCAAACAAACACACACACACTTGATGCATTCAGCCAGAGACGCCGCTACAGTAGGCCCCCCTAACCCTGGCTTTCAATGAAAACACAACGTCTCCATGCCAACGGGTTCGAGCATTTTTTGACCCGTGTTCACTAGGAGGGTATTAGAACACAATCAGGAGCTGTTATTGTGCAGATCGCTGCTCCCAGTAGCCTACATTTGGGTCTGGGGACTAGATAGATGAACCAGCCAAGTATTCACAATTATAAAACTATACTCAAACCTGCTTCCTGTCTGTAGGTCTCCTAATTTAAAAAACATTAACAAGCTTATTAAAATTAAGCTTTTATATTGGTGCTCATAGTCGGTTTGATTGTTTTTAATAGGCACACAATGAATATAAGTCTGCAGGGGCCGCTGAGTGCACAAAACAAAGCTTTGACCCTTGAAATATTTCGCAACTGCTGTGTATAAAGGCAAAAGCTCCCAGGACGCTGAACTAAACGGATGCGAAGGGTAGGGGGGAAAAAAGAAACACACCAGGGCTGTTTATACTGTTTGCTTAAGCGAAACAATCGTGACCCTTCTTCCGCTGCTCAGTTCATAAATAAAACAAATCCTTTGTTTCGTTATTCTAGTTTCCCCCTGATGTGCAGCCGATGTACTGTGAAATGGGCCCAGGCAAGAAGAGGTCCAGACCATGAATAAGTTAAAGCATTGAATTGAGTTTTGAGTTACGACAAAGAACTGCATCTGATGATGTCATAAACCTCTCATCTGATGATGTCACAAACGCATCGCACCCTCTAGATACATGAAGTTGCCATAAATAAGGCTAATTCTGAAGTATTTATAGAAATGCTACATGTAGAATGTAACGATGAATGCATCATATGTTTTGGTTAAATATAAAATACATTTTTACTTAATAATTGAGAGTAAAATTTAATGTGAATGATGAAATGAGTGGATGATTGATTAAAATGTATGAACGATAGCAAATTTAGTAGGTTAAATTAAACAATTCTCTGACTTATTAAAACACAACTATATTTTAAACTATCAAAATTTTCTGATAAATTAGTAAAAGCTAATGATCTGAAGGATTTTAATATGGCTGTAATGTCCTTAGTGTATAAAGATTATAGCCAAGTGATCGTTTTCTCTAATGATATAAATAATAATGATAAATAATAAATATTCATTCATTCATTCATTTTCTCTTAGTCCCTTTATTAACCTGGGAAGACCACAACGTAATAAACTGCCAACTTATCAGCATGTGTTTTAAGCAGCAGATGCCCTTCCAGCCGCAACCTAACACTGGAAATCACTCTTGCATCCACACACACACACACACACACACAATGGCCAATTTAACTTATTCAGTTGATGATAATAAATATAATAATAATAATAATAATAATAATAATAATAATAATAATAATAATAATAAACAGAAACGTTCTGATGGACACAGATTTAGAAAATTGTATAAAGCTTCAAAACCCCTTTTCATCTTTGAACAAGAGGTTGTGATCTTAAAACAGACCTAAATGTGATCTTAAAAGTTCTTTAATGACAGTGCTGGTTCCATAAAGAGCCGTTTAATTCCACAAGTTTCTTTACAGTGTAAAAAATCCTGATTATTGGAAGACTTTTCATTTAAAGATTAGTTTTAAATAACTCTAAACCTTATTTGTGGAAATCACTTTTTTAATCACTGTGAAGACTTGCAGTTGGGCAAACTAACAAGTTCTTACACTGGAATTTCTGCATTAAAAATGTTTAAATTGCTGGACAATCAAGCAACACAGCAGTTTTCAAGACATTTAAATGTCGTAAACTTAAATAATTGATAAAACACCGCTAAATTGTGATTTAGCAGTTAAGATTGTGTGTAAATATACAGCTGTATTTTATAATGTCACTAAATCAAATGAAGTACACCAGTTCGTAACCACAAAACTCTGTCTAATCTTTACAAATTTGTGTTTGCTTCCACATGGATGTTTCTTAATATTGTTTTATTTGAACCATTTAAAAGCAGCATTGTTTTTGTTCTTCTCGCAGTAGCCTACTTTAAACCAGTTTCGGATTTCACAGACTGGAAACTCGAATTCTCGTTAGCCTCTCAGTTTACTTTCCGGTTTAAAGGCAAGTAGAATTTTACAACAATGAGTTTAGAGGAGCTCCAAGACAACTAAACAAGTAATGTGAGCCTGAAATTATGTTGGGTTTAGTTTCAAGATATTTAAATGTTGAAAACTTTAAATAATTGATAAAACACAGATAAATTGTGATTTATGATGTTGTGCATGTCGTTCTCTGGCTTAGTGCAAGCCAATCTGCAAAAGCAGATTTGAATTCCAAGTGACACTGAAAATTTTAATCAGACTAGTTTGATCAGTGTCAATGGGTTAAACTGTCATTTTTAAAGATTTATAAGTGGACAGTATCTGGTCCTTTTCATGTTTTGGAAAAATAACATAAAAAAATGTCTATTACACTATTAAAAATGGTTTCTTTACAAAATGTGGTAACACTTTATTTTGATGGCCTATTTTAGTATTAGTAGAATGTTTAATATCTTGATACTGCTTCTTCAACAGACATTTAACTGACTATAAGAAACTTTGCAAGATGTCAACTTATACTAACCCTGACCCCAACCTAACAGTCTAATCTAATGAGAATTAGTTGCAACGTAACTTAAATTCAACAAACGGACCATCAAAATAAAGTGAGACCAAAAATATTGTCTGAAAAGTTCTTTGGGAAACTTTAAAAAAATCATTTTGAAATCTTTATTGTTGTTTAGATTTGTACTGACTGATAAGCTTGCACAAGCATTACTTGTGGATCTCACTTCCTTAATCACTGTGAAAGCTTGCAGTAAGGCAAAGTAACAAGTCCTAACAGTGGAATTTCTACATTTAAAATTCCTGACATCTTCAACAGTGCGCTCGGCTGGACAATCAAGCAGCACAGCAGTTTTCAAGACGCCGACAGCAGCTCAGTTCAGCTCACTCGCTGTCAGGTGTAGCGCACCTGCGAACTGAGACACGGACACTAAATAATTGAACCGCAAAAGACACCGAGGAGTCCACCATCAAAAGGCGAGGCGTGCGGTGAAACATGACGAAACAACAGACAGTGACGTCAGCTTTCGATATGAACAGATCTGTCATGATAGGTCCTACTGAGAAAAAATAATTACTAACATAGCGTAGTAAGTCAAATTGATTAATATTCAAAAACATTAAATGAAGGAAATAAAAATGTTTTACAAGAAAACATACCTAACATAAGTTAAAGACACATTTAAATGAATAACATGTCGAAATCAGCCTGTTACGTAATAAACCTTTGATTTACATGCATTTACTGATTTACATTGATTTACATGCAAGTTCGTTCAGCTGGAAAATATAGGATATGATGTGCAGGGAGAAAGGAGTGTTGAGGGACATGGTGAAATAATGTAAGAGCTTAGGGTAACGTTACGAGGAACAAGCGAACACTCAAGGACGACTGGATGAGGTGCACAGTTTCGCAAACAAACACACCTGTCAACACGTAATGGGCAAAAAGCACTTCCCAAGGCCACACCTAGAGAAACATGGCGCTTATCGAAACCAAACTCATACAGTCCCTATGGAACGAAACTAAAGGAGCCACCAAACCGACAAAGTTAACCAGTGAGCCACAGGCATTGTTAATAAAATAGTTTAAAGATAAACATGACTGCAGACAGAGATGAGTGTGAGAAGCGAGCACCCTGAAGACGCGCTCAAGAATCTTTCTACTGTCGAGTTGCGGAGCGCTTGTGTTGAGTGTATCTACTATACTTAAAATGAAAGAGAACTGTGTTGTTCATAGCTGCCAGTAATTACTGATCTCCTTACTATTTAAACGGCATATAACAGGTCTTACCTTGAACAATAAGGAGAAAGAGAGCGCCTAACAGTCCTGACATGGTCATCGGAGGGAAGGCTGGACAGTCCACCTTGTCGGTTGTCCGCTTGTTGAACTCAATCAGCACAGAATCGCCAAAACAAAAATCAATCGACACAGTCCGATTGAGATACTGTTATGAAGTTCCTTTAGTTTCCTTCAGTAGTCGAGCAGAGAAACTTGATGTAAAGGTGAGTCGCTGTGTTCAGCGCGTTCCTCTTGATTTGGTTTACAATCTAGCGTCAACAAATCCCCTTTAAATCGTGTAAACAGCTTTAGTCCTCAGAAACTGTAGCGCGGCGTCCGGTGGCCGGTTAATAAACGTCCTACAGGTGAAGAAATATCCGGTAAGTGAGTTGGATGTTTCGGCAGACGGTGGAGTCTCAAACCTGTCGCTTTGGGATCGCACTGTTGAAACTCTATCATAAGGGCTGCGCTCATTGGACACACGCGTGTGATGTCATGCTGCGTCATGCTACTTAAAGTCACCCAAAATTCTAAGAGATGGGTACTTTCCCGGGTACAGTAAGTTTTATTTTCAATTTTAGGCAACTAAACTGCCACTTGATCCAGTTAGGACAATAAAAACATTGATTGCATAAATGTCAGGCTGCATTTTATACACTAAAACAAATGCAGAGCCACTTCGTAACACGATGAAACTCCCCGTGTAATCGTTACAAAGTTGTGTTTGCTTCTTTAGATGCGAATGTTTCTTAACTTTTTCTTTTATGAACCATTCAAAACCAGCGTTGGATAACTTTTTAATCAGTTTTTGGATTTCACAGAATAGACACGTGATTTCTCAGTGGCCTCTTTGTTTGCTTACAGGTTAAAACGCAAGTATAACTTTACCACAATGAGTTTCGAGGAGCTCCAAGATAATTTAGCAAGTAATGTGAGCCTGATATTACTATATATTGGGGTTAGATTAGTTGCTGGTTGATAAGTTGCAAGTGTGGTGAACTAGAACAGGTAGCTCTAGCGCTCCCCCTGCTGGTAAAACTATACACCACAAACACTCTAGGGTTGACTGATTTGGGGGAAATTCCAGTTATGGGTCTCCAACTATATACTTTTTTACTTTTGTAACTATTATTTTTCCGTATCACATATTTAAACTTTAAGTAACTCTTACAGACCCGTAGCCAGCCTACTGAAAGAGGTGATTCTTTTTTCTCAAAAAGTGGAGCTTATTGCAGTTATTTTATTAAATTATAGATTCAAATATTGCACTTTAGTGACATTTTACGCACTAATCTTTGCTAATCTTAGCTTGTAAGATGGTTTTCATAAGCACTCTTTTAATGCAACATAATTACTTCCTACAATGTTGTTAGAGTGCTTACTATTGTACCACAACATGTTTATTTAGAAATGTACATTTAAACGGTAAGTGGTTGCAGTTTTACAAATTATGTTATGAGATTGAAATTTTTAATTTAACATTTTGAATAAAGAAGTATGAAAAAAATAATTATTCATGAAATAAAAAATTATTATCATGCATCATTAAAAAACAATAAACCAACAAACATTAAAAACTATAGCCTGTAGGTCAGTAACAAACTGGCCAGCTCATTTCATTTCACTTAAGTTACTTTTATTTGTTTTTAGGTGTCTAAATGGTACTGCACCCCTTTACCTCTCTGAGCTTCTCTGTCCTTACACACATTCTCATTCCCTCAGGTCAGCCGACCAGCTCCTCCTGGGTGTGCCCAGGACCAGTCAAAAGCTCAGAGGGGATCGGGCTTTTGCTGTGGCTGCACCAAAATTGTGGAAGGAGTTGCCGTTGTATATTAGACAAGCCTCTTCCATTACTGTTTTTAAATATCTTCTTAAAACCCACTTGTTCAATTTGGCTTTTAGCACAGCGTGAGATGTTGACATTTTATGTTTATTTATTTGTATTTGAAAGTTTGTTTTACTCTTTGTTGCCAGCACTTTGGTCAACTGTGTTGTTTTAAAGTGCTTTATAAATAAATTGAATGGAATTGAATTTCCTCAATCAGAACTTGTACATGTGAATAAGTAAAAATGTAATTTGTCTTAAAGCCTTCTTCTATTGGATATTTTCACAATTTATGATGGCATACTGTCAAAAATGGGACAAATGTGCTCATACAGTCATATAGTGGCCAAATTCTGGACTTTGTCTTGGGGGAGGGTGTGGGGGTGGCCTGTTTACAGGTCTGTAAGAGCTTCTTAAAGTTTAAAGATGTAATACGGTAAAATAATTGTTACAAAAGTAAAAAAGCATTGGAGACCCATACCTGGAATTTGCTTGAGCCCCCAAAATCATGAAGTCTGCCCCTGAGCGTTTGTGGTGTAAAGCTTTTTTCACAATTTATGATGGCATACTGTCAAAAATAGGACAAATGTGCTCATATACTGTAGTAGACAAATACTGTATTTTGTCGTTGGGGGGAGGGGGGTGTATCGAACCACCCGAACCTCCCTGACTACGGGCCTGTCTTAACAACATGTATGGATTAATGTAAATTCAATAAATTCATTATTTTCTAAATCTGTTCATTATTGCCTTTTCTTTGTCAGTTGATAGGTGTTTTTCATTTATTTATTAGTTTTCCAATTGCTTTATGCAACCTTGATCTCTGCTGAGGCAACTTTTGATTTGGAAAAAGTTACTTTCTCTATTATTCGATATTTTCAAGTCACAAAATAAGAAAAAGAAAAATTAAGTCAGTGAAGGTGACTTTTTTTCTATTTTCCTTATTAGAAAAGTAATCAAAGTTAGCATGCCATTATCCCGCACTGTAAACAAATATCAATTAACTAACAGTTTCCTGTAGTTTCTCGTTCACAAATGTTTTATTAACAGAATCTGTTGACAAACAAGACAAAATGTGGTTAATTATTATGCAAAAACAGTTTTACCCAAGAAAAATAAACAAACATTTAATTCTAATTCTCAACAGATTTAAGAGCATGCAGAGAACGTTTCCTCATCATCACTAAATAGCTGTCACTCACTAGATTTCTACAATCTCACAAAGTTTTATTTTAATCAATAAAGCTTTCTCCAGTACACAATGAATCAGTTATTTACATTTTTCTGCTATAATGAATTGATTTGAAGTGTTTTGAGCACTGAGTAGATACTAACTAACTTAAAAACATCTGATTTACCAATCAAGAAATCAGCAGATAAAGTATAGGGCTCTGATATCACAAAAACAAGTTATAAATAGAAACCTCTGACACTGTAAGGAGAAACCTCTGACACAGTTTGCAAATATAAATACTCGTTGAAGCCTTTTCCAAATCTGTTTCAGGCAGTATAAAATGGGGGTCAGTGATTTCCTGAGGTCCTAAGTGGTCAAGTAGCTTATTTTTTGATTAAATGCCCATCAAAACTCTCAGCTCATCTGTGAAATGACCAAGAAAAAAAATCCCTTGCATTAAAGTTCTGCAGATCTACATCTCCCACTGACTTTGTTCGGAAACTCTGCTTTTGAAGCCGACTACTTTTCCTCACTCTTGAGTCTGAAGGCAAAATAGGCAAGTTTGAGAGAGATCATTTATGATGCTGAAAAGGGCCCGACTCTATACTTCAGTAGTCACATTGAGTATCAGCAGCCCAATAAATCATAACCGAAGCATCTCTCTCTCTCTCTTAATCACTCTCCCGGTTTGATTGTTTGCACGGGCCCAATGACACGTACAGTACTATGACTCTCATTAGCTGCTGTGCCCTAGTTTGCTCTCTCTGAAGTTCCTCTTTCCCTGCTCATTTACTCCTTCCTTCCTTTTCTCGTTTCAGTTTTCTCCATTTTTATCTCTTTTCTTTAAGACCCTCTCTCATTCTTTAGCTCGGAGGTGATTAGGAGCTGAGCTGGTAATGGGACTTGAAGGCTCTGATAAGTCTGTTAGCTTTAATTAAAGACATTTACAGGGATGTAAAGACATTTAGCCAGAAGCTGAAGACCATTCCTGATTACATCTCTAAATCCGCCCTCCCCTCCTTTTTTTTTCTGCTCTCTCACTTTCTCTTTTTTTTTACAAGTATATTCTCACAGTCAGCTCTTGGCCAACAGTCTGCTCTGTCCATTTTGAACACTTCTGATGGGCTAGAGTTTAGAAATAGTCATATTTTACATTATCCGTACTTTATGTAGCTTTTAAAAGAAAAGCTCTGATGCCTCATTCACACCAGCAGCGACTTTGTAGCTGCCTGTTGCTCTGGGTGGCGACCTGCTGCAAACGCAGGTCTATGTAGGTCAGCAGCACAGAATACAACTGGCCTCTGCAAGAGCTGAGAAAGGATCATATGAGCTCGTGGGGACGGTGGGCGCCAGAAGTCACTCTCTCTTTGTTAAAATAAATGACCGCTTGTTACTTTGCTGCTGCGAGTCACTCGTGGTGTGAATCAGGTTTTACCCTTAAACAACTGAGTTTTACCATTGTTTGAATCCATCTTCAGGTCTGACTTGGTCCACTTTTAGCTTAGCTTAGCACAAATTATTAAATTGGATTAGACCATTAGCATCTCAGTTCATTCTTTCATTTTCTTTTAGGCTTAGTCTCTTTATTAATCAGGGATCGCCACAGCGGAATGAATCGCCAACTCATCCATCATATGTTTTACACAGAGGATGTCCTTCCAGCTGCAACCCAACACTGGGAAACACATACTCTTGCATTCACACACACACACACACACACACACACACACACACACACAATGGCCAATTCAGCTTATACAACTCACCTGCACCACATGTCCTTGGACTGTAGGAGAAACCGTAGCACCCGGAGGAAACCCATGCAAACACAAGGAGAACATGCAACCTCCACACAAAAATGCCAACAGACCCAGCTGAGGCTCAAACCAAGTGACCTTCTTTCTGTGAGGCGATTGCGTTACCCACTCCGCCACCGTGACGCCCAGCATCTCAATAATTGATCAAAAAATAATTTAGCTAATTTAATTTTTAAAAGCTTAACTCTTCTGCAGTTACATCATGTACTAAAATGAAAAGTTACCATTTTCTTGGTTGATATGGCTATGGATATGACTAGTCAACTTAGAACTTTGCTGCTGTACCACGGCTGGAGCAGGAGCAATGATATTAAGCAGAACTTGAAAATAGTTCCAGCTAAGTAAGGTAACAGTCCTGCATACCCTTGTGCTTGCTGCAGCCATGGTACGGTAGTATAGTTTGTTGATTATTACACCAGAATTACAGTGTTACGTGCCGGCTCAAGCACGCAACAAAATGAAGGGAACCCAAACCAAGTTGAATATAATAATGCAAAAAGATATTTATTTAAAGGTTACAAAAAGACAAAAATTATAAAATAAAATAATGTGCAAAAAGGGGTATCAAAGTAAACAAATTAATTATCTAACATAACAATATTCAATACGACAAATTATACAGGAGCAAAGTTCAAATAAACAAAATTAATATAAGCGGTGGGTAAGGCAAAGGAAGTCAAACGAAAAAACGGTCCTCCAAAGCAGTCTCTCCAACACAGTTTGGAAGCTCCTTTTATAAAGCCTGAAGATTAGC